AATTTCGCTGTCAGGGATGGTCGCTGTGGAATGATTAGATTGTTGTGCATCAGATGCGGGTGGTCAAGGTTTAAGTTATTATTAGTTACATTAACTTTCACACCTTTGCTTCAATCGCTTGGACAAAAACTGACCTACTGGCACGAGCACAAACAAAACACGCACGTGAATTCAAAGAAGCTTGTTTAGTACAGACGGCAATACTACTAATCATTCCACAGCGACCATCCCTGACAACAAAATGCAGTCAACCATGACAACGCATCCCTCAAATACCACCAATGCCAGCTTATTACATAATTGACCTTTCACTCTTAAGCTGGCAAATTATGACAAAAATGTTCTCCGTGTTTACCATACTTACCCTTGACGGGCATATTCAAACCTAACAATGCAAATTTGTCCCTTTCCCTCACCAGTTCACTCATTACGAGTGCCTAGGCCTTGAGACCCTAGGAGGCGGTTTAAAAGGAGAAAGGAACACACACACAACCCAAGCCATACATCCATCCAAAGCGTTAATCAGCTTGAATGTGAGAGATCGATTTTACGTATTTATCAGTGCGAATGCATGTACATTCTTAACATATCAAATGTCCAAGTGCCACACAACTCATCTCATCCGACTCATCGTCGTCATGAACATTCTTACAATGCAGGAAATAAGTATAGTTAACAAGTACGATCGTACTATTGGACCAGGAACTGGTGAAGTATAGATTCAATCTTTCTCTCCAGGATGAAATTTCAAGTATCTATGAACCTAGGCAATCTTGCGAACGGTTATGTTAAAATTGTGGTTTTTCTACATTTTCTCATCTGCTTTCAATACAAAGACACTTAAAATGTGCCGAGTTGCACATCTATGTCCTAAGCTATGCCGCTGTAGCTGGCGAGAAGCTAGCGTTGCGTGCACCGTGCCACTGTCATTATAGTCGTTTTTTATGTATACGTATGTATGCTGGGCAAAGCCTAAACAAATAAATAAAAAATAAGTAATGCCCTAGAGAGAAACGCATTTAACGCAATGGTCCTATAGTCATGACTACAGGGTGTATAAAAAAAAACGCAACCACTTGATATTCATGATATCCTCTTTGTTCTACAACACAAAAGACGTTTGGCCCCTGGAATGCGAAAAAGCTTGTAATCATATTCTAGCGGCACAATCGTCGGTAAACAAAGTCGGGTGCGTAAACCAACGAGCTGAATTGAAAGTATTTAACGAGTAAAATTTTATTTACCATTTATTTTACAAGGTCGACAGTTAGCATTCAAGTTATCATGCACGACAATAAAAACTCGTTGTTCAGTTGTTATCTGCACCATTATTAGTTTAGCTGATTTGACTATTAGCAGTTGAACTGTACGATTAGAAGCCATTTTAAAATCCCAGGGGCATAAAATCTATTGAGCTTATGAACAATATGAATTTTAGAATATTAAGTGGTTGCGTTTTTTTTGAGACACCCTGTATACAGGGTGTCCCAAAAAACGAAAACTATTGAAATCACTCATTGTTAAAATTTGAATACCGTGTTCACGAATTTTAGCCCGTGGGGATTTAATGCAACTTATAAAATGCTAAATGCTTTGTGTTGCTAGAGAAAGAGGACATGTCGAAGCTCATGGTCCTTGAGATGCACATTTAAATAATGTTATCCATATTTGTAAATTGTAAATATTGTTAATAAATATCATTTTTGCGAACAAGCAAATTTTACAGCATCATATGCATGCATAAAAATGCTTATGGCAACCCCGATTTATACACTTGTGGGCCCAACACTTGAGTGTTTAGGCATTCAAACTCATAACCCCATAACAATGGCATTGTTATGGGTGATTTCAATAGTTTTCGTTTTTTTTGGGACACCCTGTATATTGTGTACAAAACAAAGAAAACACACGACCTTCTGGCTTGAACTCATAGTATATGAATATTAATAATATTAAAATTTGCCTCCCGCCACAATCTGACATGGCTTGCAAATCTTCTGAAGAATATAAGCACAAACAATTTAACTCCGTAAGTCGATAGAGAATAACCTTTAAGATAGTTGTGTGACGTTTTATCACGATCTGGTGCGAAATGACGGAGCCTTAGCCATTTAAACTTGCTACTGTTATTCATACTAATATTGAATATACTCTATACGGATTACTACGCTACAATTTTGAGTTGCTTCTAAATTTCTTTAAAATAAAAAAATCAAAATTATAACTCCGTCAATCGATGGGGAATATCGCTAAGGATAGTTGTGCGAAGTTTAATTGCGATCTGATGCGAATTGACGGAGCCTTAGGCTTTTTTAAAGAGTGTCACCCCCTAACAAAAACAACAACAACAACAACAACAACAACAACAACAACAGCAGCAGCAGCATCAACAACAACGACAACGACAACGACAACGACAACGACAACGACAACGACAACGACAACGACAACGACAACGACAACAACAAGATTAGCCGCGTGTGGGGACCAGAAATACGTATGTATATTATCCGCGCCAATTACTTTTGGTTATTAGGGTCCCAAGGCTTAGGCACTCGTAATGAGTCAGCTGGTGAGGGAAAGGGACAAATTTGCATTCTTAGGTTTGAATATGCCCGTTAAGGGTAAGTATGGTAAACACGGAGAACATTTTTGCCTGTATTATTACCTGCGTTGCAACTCCAAATTTATTTTGGAGCAAATCATGTTCAAAAATATTGAAATCCTACAGAGTATGTTCCTAATAACCAACCCGAGCCGGTGCGAAGCACCGGGCGAGGGTACTAATTCCGCCCGGAGATTTTAATTACGCCCGGGAATGCAAATGCGAAATGAAAGTTGTCCGCCATTATGTCATGGACGTTGGGCGTTTTTGTAAGTTATGCGCATGCGTGAGTATAAGACGAGTTAAAACTGGTAACTAGCAAACGTTTACAAACGTGCGATTGGCTAAATTAAAATTTGGGTCACGTCAGCATAACTGATATTTTGAATTATAAACCTTTTTTTAAATAATATTTTTCATTTGGATGGTCTTGAAAATATACGAAAAATTGACTCGTAAAATTGATTAAAATATAATGTAAAAGATACCTTTGGATAGAAAAATTTTCATTCTAATGGATGGTGAAATATCTACGATTTTGAAGCATTTTTAAAGTGTTTTTGAACAGGTAAATGGGTAGATTTCGGCATTTTAAAGTATACTATTGTTTTGTAAGTTTAATATGTGGATTTATCAACAAATGTATGACCCCTCTTTGAATTTATTCGTCAATATATCGTTGAAATGATTTGGATTTGAAAAGTATTTATTTTTAAAGGTGAATTTGTTTAAAAAGTAATTGAAATTTCGCTAAGAATTGTAGTATTTAAAACTATTCGTAGCACAATTATGATTATATTATAGTCGAATTTGATAGCTCGAGAGTCGACTTTATAATTCTACCAAGATATAGGATTTTACTTTACGACTTCGATCATTCAGCAGAAACGAGTATCATAGAATTTCAGTGATGGAAATATTGTTTATAGCTTTAAATATTGTTTATTGTTTAAAGTTTATTGCGTCAGGCGAGGGGACTTTGCATGCAATGTATTTCTAGTTAACTATACTTATTTCCTGCGCATGCATTGTAAGAATGTTCATGACGACGATGAGATGAGTTGTGTGGCACATAGGCAGTAGGCGAAAACCTGGGAACGAGGATGATAATTCCTTAAATTTCCGCAATCATTCTTCACGTCAAACAACCAGGTTCACACTTCTTATTTTATATACGGCTCACTGGGATAAATGGGATTAGTTGCATATTCCCAGCGTGAGGTTAGTGGGGATGTCCCTGATTTATGCACCGAGTGAAGCAAACTTCCTGTTTTCCGCTTTCTCATCAATTATAGCGACACTTTGCCATAAACCAGACTAATGTTTGTCTTTATTTATCCAAATCGCAATGATATTATATCAGTCATTTCGACACGTAAGCAACTCAAGCACAGGCAAAGTACGATGTAGCTATATATCTGTTAATATTCAGTTGTGTAATTGTGTTCAGACGCGCCCGATTTCGCGGCGTCAGCGACGGAGTTGAAAATTCTCCCCGGTTTTGTTTTGTTTTGTTTTTTTTATTTTTCGTCGTTGCAAGTCTGTAATGGCGCGAAATATACTAGTATTGGAAATGTGTATGTGACCGTATTTATCTACGTCCCAGTCTTATCTCCCAAGAGTTGTGGTGCACAGCTTTGGCTAATTTTCCGATGCGGATTCGATTTCGCTCGCATGATACCGCAATTCCTCCAAGAGGAACAAATAAACGTTTTTTTATGCTGTTCGATTAAGTTTAGATTGAATTGAGGTAAGAATATATTTAATACATGTAGATTCTGGTCCTATTTTAATAATATCGCTGCTATTTTGCCGTTTAACAAGATGATATGGCCGTGTATGGGCGCGTTGACACGTCGTAGTTTGCTGACAGGATTGAAGATTTAATATAACTATATAAGCGCGAATTCGAAAGGCAGAGTGTAAGACAAAGCGAATGTATCATGCGGTTTATTTACATTTCTGAACAATTGAACTTCTATACTTTTTAAAGTACGATGTGCTTCTGAATTTCGCGATCGAACTGTATTGTTTATGTTCAGAAGCTTTATATATTGAAGACTGGCATGTGCGCCGGAGTTAACGCCAGAACAGGCGTCTTGTTTGAATTAATTTTAATTGAACTTAATAGAAATAATAAAGCACTAGCAAGACGGATAGAGTTGCAGTGTATATGTGGATGTTTCAAAGTGAACTTTGGGTTACTTGTACTTTTGGAACGGAAATTTCCATTGCGAAGCACTGCCTTTATATATAAAAATTAATATACCATGTTCGATAATATCTACTTCCGTCTATAAAGAGTAATTAAATTTGTATCAACTTCTATCAAACTAGATTTTGCAATGGATGCATTTATATGATAACATAGACACACATAAGTGCAGCAACTTACTTGACTAAAATGCCCTTTGGTCGAAACGTGTAGCAGTTTTCTTGTATATACATGTAGTTTAGACTATACAATTACTTCATGGTTTCCGTGTTTGCTATAGAATAGAATAGAGGTTTATTCAAATTACTTTGCAGCAAAAGCTGAATTACGTAATGATTACAACCTTTGTATTAAAATTAATTATGATACTACTGATATTACTTACATCAAAAAGTTTAAAAAGCAGAATAAAATTCAGTTAAAATCTAAAAGTCAGGTAGACCTAAACCTATTTAATTTTATTATTGAATCTGTTGCACATAGCAAAGATAAAAGAGTTTTTGGTCCTTTCAGTTTTAATTAGAGGCAAGTTAAAATTATTTACATTCCTTAAAAAATAGCCTGAATCATATCTTCCAGGCAATAAATGACGAATCTTGTGATTTTCATCGGACATTACAGATTGGAACAAAGTGTTACATAAATATTCGTGATGATTTTCCATGGATTTAATGTTTAACAATCTGAGAGCATCAAGGTAATGCGTATCGGGCATAATTATCGCAATTGCCCTTTTCTCCAACCGTATCAGTTCGTTCTTTAAATATTGTGGTAATGAGTGATAGAATACTGGTATTGCATAATCAACAACAGATCTGATACATGAAGTGTAAAACAATGCTAAATCTTTCGATTTCACTTTGGCACGTTTTAATTGTGAGAGAAAGTATAATCTTTTATTCACTTTCTTAACCACAACCGCGATGTGCTCATTCCATTCCAATTTACTGTTTATAGTGAGACCCAACAGCTTTATACTTTCCACGACTTCTAATTCTTTACCATTAAGAACCAAGGGATCCAGATCAATAGGATTTGCGGAAAACGTAATGCGCAGTTCTTTGCATTTCTCTGAGTTTAGTTGCATCCTGTTTTTTTCAGACCAGCAAGACATTTCGTTTACTAGGCTCTGAGCTTTACTAATGCCGTTTTTCCGGGCTATCTCAGATGTTGTTGAGTCCCATAGATCCCCTTGAGATATATGTAAGTCGTTTATTAAAATAATAAACAACCAGGGACCTAATTTTGTGCCCTGAGGGACGCCTGATGGAACAGAGTCCCACGACGAAAAGCAGGAATTTCCCAGCTTAATTCTCTGGAATCTATCGGTAAGAAAATCTATAATCCAATTTACGACACTGTGGGGAATATCTAATTGTGACACTTTTTTGATCAGGATTGAATGGTCTATAAAATCAAAGGCTTTCCGATAGTCGAAAAGAATTGTTCTAATAACTGATCCATTTCCATCTGTTCCAGTGTACCATTGGTGTAACATATTGATAAGTGCCATTGTTGTAGATGATTCAGGTATAACGCCGTATTGATTCCGATCAATCGCCTTTAGTACAGCTGGCTTTACATATTTATTTACCACAAATTCTTCTGCCACTTTAGAAACGCACGAAGTAAGCGAAATCGGTCTTAGATCTTTTTCCGGGTGTTTCACAATCTTAATTTTTGGCATTGGAATAACATCTGCCTTTTTCCAAAGGGAAGGAACATACTGCTCTCGAAAGGATGCGTTGAGAATAAAGGAAATGCAAGGATAAATGAATATTCCTTTAGAAGCCAGTTAGGGATTTCATCTGGACCAGCTGCTTTGTTCACCTTAAGTTTTGATAAGACTCTCTGTACTGATAATTCTGATACATTGAGAAAAACTGGAGACTCTTCCAAAGGGTATTTGGGTAGTGGAGTGTTGATGGCCTGATCCAAACACGCGGGAATGTTGCGAGAGTTATTAAAGAAAAGCGCGCGAACACGGAAACCATTACGTAATTGTTTTATAAAATAACAACGACAAGGGCTGAATTTAAATTTAAATTCTTTAAAACTTTAAATTTCCGCGTTTGGATGGCTTGATCCAAACACGGGCTTCGACCAATCAGAACACGCGTTATATACATGTTATTCATAAAGGCAATTGCTGCTTGATTTTTGCTCCGGTGTGCAATATCCGAAGTCCTTGAGCGATGTGTTGAGCGACTTTTCCCAACATGGTTTCATCCCTAGAAAGTCGTGTACAACCCAGCTAGTTGAAGTCTTGCACCACATTGGATCCATTTTAGACTGTGGTAAACAAACTGATATGATATTCATGGACATGTCAAAGGCTTTTGACAAGGTCAACAATGCAGTCCTGGCAAATAAACTCCAACAATATAACATCGACGGATCTCTTCTCCAATGGTTCACCTCGTATCTTCATGACCGCCAACAGCGCGTCACAACCCTTGGCACTACTTCCTCCCAAAAACCAGTGTGCTCCGGTGTTCCGCAAGGCAGTATCTTAGAACCAATACTTTTCCTCCTGTATGTCGACTTACCAGATGTTGTGGCCATTCGTCAGTTGCGTATTTTGCCGATGACACGAAAATTGTTCACAGAATTGACTCCATCTCTGATGCCATTTTACATTTGAATCCTGGTCCAAGTCAAGTGGTCTCGTGTTTAACGAAGAAAAATGCAAAAGTCTTAGCATCACCAGACGTAGCCAACCAATTAAACATCCATACAGCATCAAAGGCAAAGAACTTATTCCTATCTCAGGACAGAAGGATCTAGGACTCTGGATCGCGAGTGATCTAAAGGCCGGCGCACACTAGAGCTATGTGCTTAGCAAAAAGTCATTCGTGGCCATTGGCGTAAGCCAGTTGCTCTCGTGGGCGGGCGACTTTTCCGGCGACTTTGGTCATTCGTGCCACTTACGGCAAATATCTAGCATGTTTGATAATTTCTGCCTCGCGTGCCGAAATCTTTCCGTGTGCGGCAAACTGAAAGCTATCTGCTTATGGATTGTCTACAGCGCATGCTTAATATACGAAAGTACTGAAACATCCAAGTGCCGGTGCGAACAAAGCAAAATGAATTGGTGGCTAAGGCCATATTGGAAGACAAACTGGTTGATCCTTGGCGAGAATATTGGTGTTTATACGATTTGAATTCTACAGATTTTAGAAACAGAGAGAAACGGGAATGCGCTATTGCAGAAATAGCTAGTAAGGTTTCTCAAACTGGTAATATAATTAATAGCACTTGGATAACGGTGTTTAGTCTAGTCCGACGCAACAGCAACAAAAATAACAACACCTCTTCGTCTTCACTTTCATCCATAATTTTGTTTTTGCAATCTGTTCGCCTTCTTGGATGTTTACTTTCGTATATTACGCATGCGCTGTTAAGACAATCAATAAGCAGATAGAGATTGAATATGTTTTCGTAGACCGTCAAAGTCAGCGAATTGGTAATCAAACACTGTTCGTTTTATCTTTGGGAACGGGTTGCATGAAAGGGAGAGGTCGAATATAATGTGAGTAAACACATATTATGTTAATTGTGTTTATTTTTGTTCAAAGGGCCCACAGTAATTGGTTTTCACTGTTGTGGTGTCCCTGCCATTCTTGTCCTTGTTTTGTCCAGACGCCTCATAGAAAGATGTGTTCGACGTCCTGTCATTTGTATTTGCAAAATTAAATAAATAAATGAATGATATATTTCTGTCCGCACAAGCTAGCCAAGGTCATGCATTCGGTGTTTATGCACATGCCACTGTGGCGACTTACCATTGGTAAACGTCGTATAAATATGTATATATGTATTGAGTATAAATTTAGAGTTGACTATTGATTTATAGTAACCCAATTAGGCTACTTAGACTAATTGTTTAACATATTCTCACTATGTGAGCTATTCTGCAACTTGATTGGTCGAGATAGCCACCGTATATCAATCATCTAATGGTGAGCAGCAATAAAAAATGGCCGAGTAGTAGTGACGAAGAAGAAATGAAATAAATATGTATATATTCACAATACAAGCCTGGAACAATTTGCTTCATAACCAATCTGTGAGCTAGAAGTTACTAAAAATTATAGCCATAATTATTCTATTGATACACGCATACGCGCAATACAAAAGCAGGGCCGTCGCTACAAGCTTAATTAATTGGGGGGTTGCATATTCATATATTCGTCTTATGGCCGAAAGATTTCTTTTGTTAGTTATTGTTTCTAAGGTTGTATAAACATGAATATGTGAATATGCATCCCCCAATTAAGCTTCTAGCGACGGCCCTGTGCAAAAACCTGGTTCTCATATGTCACCGACAGTCGGCGATGTATTGTTTGTAGCCGGTGACGAAGAACATTTTTTGAAAATAATAAAACACTTCATTCATCAGAGATCAGGGACAATAGGTATCGCCGACCGTCGGTGACATACGAGATCCAGGCTTAAAGGCCCACACACACTGAATTACATTATCCCCCAACGCGACGTAAATTTTCATATCTTTTAAGCAAATAAATTAAACTCTTGAATGAAATTTTGATCTGAGGTCATGACGTCATTAGGTGCCTTGGCAATACAGTTCAGGGCGTACCTGAGCGCAAGTTGCAACGTGTGCGCTACAAATTGCAGCAAAACTCGGCACAGCACATTGTATTATTATGCAGAACAATGAAATCATACAATGATAAACAGAAGTTTTATCTTCAATGCGGTGCATGGAATAGGCATACATTTTGTATGAAATGCATAAGTTTAAATTGCACAATCAGTGATCGACGATAACGTGATGATAACCATGTAATATTGTAAGATGTTCTTGAAATGAGTTCGTTGCTGTTGCCCTAAAATATTCAGCGTGTAACGTCCACGCGCCTTTAACTGATGCGTACTTTTGGATAGATGGGAAAATACTGTTCTAAATAACGTTTGAGACGATCGTATATATGCGTGTGGAAGTTGCGCCAAGTTTAACTTATAATCCTAACCTCATTGAACTATTGTTTGTCATATGGCAATAGTACTTTTGATTTGTATGCACATCTACGCTAATTCTTGTTGTAGCAACTGACTTTGGCAAATTGTAACATTAATAGCGTCGGTGAGAGGATCATATACTAGTTAAGTCTTTTGTATTTATATCATAATGAAATTTTTAATTTGAGCAAGGAAGCAAATAATCCCGAATATGTTGGGACTGTGCAGCAAAATGATGCACGCCATCTGTAAGGCCGTATAATTCTGTAAAACATAAACGTATACACA